AAAATGTAAAAGGATTGGATGATCCAACAGTTCTCGTTATAAAAGCACATAATATAACTCAGATACAAAGTTTAATAAATTATTTACCAACAAAATATCCACCATGCTAAGAGAAAAACACAATATAAAGAATATATTTTACTTTATTTTTTTGAATAAAAGTTATTGAAATGAATCTGAATTTTCCGATCTTCATACCATTGCATCGTTATCGCAACTATGTGAATTTTTATCATAAAACTTTTAAGCTTCTTTTCTACTATGGACAATATATCTTCCAGTCAAATCATCGAATATGAAGATGTTCTGATACTTCAATTTTTTTATCGTATAGTTATACTCATAATAGAAGGTGCGAATGTAGACATGAGCTCTCTCTTTATCCACAACTATATCCCCAGATGAAATCAACGTTTACTCTTGCATTGGCATCTTCAATAGATAATTTTCTAAAAGAGCATATTTATAGAAACAAGACTTTATTTGATCATTATTCGTTGAAATATACAAACAAAAAGTAACTCACACAGTTTCTAAAGAAAATTCAAGAATATTTCGTCAGAATTTCAAATTTTTGTATTCGATTATTTCCATAATCTGAGACAAAGAGATTTCCATGTTTATCGAATAGTAATCCCGATGGACGATTCAGTTGATTTGATTGTATTCCTCTACCATTTTCGCCAGCAATAATTTTACCCTCGGTGGCACCTTTTTGCCAACGCATCACTCGATGACTTTCACTGTCTGCCACATAAACAGTGCCCCATTGATCAACAATGACTCCTCCAGGATAATATGAATGTCTAAGAGAGTTTCCTTCGCCTTGACCACCTGCTACGACTATTCCTTCTTTGGCATTCTCTGTCCATTGCATTACACGATGATTGGAATAGTCCGACACGTATACTGAATGATCACGATCAACAAAAACGAAGGTAGGATAATTAAGTTGATCGACACGATCACCTTGACCATTTCCGCCAGCCACTACTACACCCTGAGTATCTCCCAAACGCCAACGTCTAACTTCATGATTGTCAATGTCAGTGATATACAAGAATTTATCATCGTCGATCGTCAAACAGTTACAACTAATATTCGAAATGATTGTTTCTCCGCTTGCTGAATCTTGAAGAGACCATCGAACTACTCGTCGATTTTCTCGATCACAAATGATAAGACAATCATTCTCTTTATCAACGATGACGTCAGTTGGATAATTCAATTGATTGTTATTATTTCCTGGCCCATTTCCACCGGCTACAACTTTTCCATTGGTTTCACCCAATTTCCATTCAATAATACGATGGTTGAAAAAGTCAGCAATATACAGTGTTTGTTCATCATTCAAATATAAACCTTGAGGATGACAAAGCTGATTGAGTCGATTTCCGCCTTCATTACTTCCTGCTAGAGTCAAACCATTTATTGTCCATTTAGCATTGATATCAATTTCAGCAGCACGTAATGGAACTAAATAAAAACATAGATATTAAACTTTTATGTACATGACAAGATATCATCGATATTAAAGGATAACATATTTAAAAGAATATTTTCATAGATCACCAGAATGTCTTTCAACATCTAAAAAGGCAATCGACGTTTTTTTTCATGCTCTACAAAATCACATTTTGATCATACTCATCAAATAGTTTATGCAAGATTAAACAGGTGCAATATGGCGCCTGTTTGATTCTACATTAACTCTAACCGATCAGCATAATCATTGTGTAATTTTGTAGAACATGAAAAACAATGTTGATCTACACTATTAACTTTCATATTGATTTTACACCAGAAAAATGTCATAAGTCTATTTAGTCTTCAAAAATTCTTTTTTCTTTGCGTTCATTAAAAAAAGTATGCAGAAATGTGCAGAATTTTATGCTTTAATCCGTTAGTATCCTTTATTTTAATAAAAGTTTTTATTTTGCGATGAAATTCTCATTTTTGGATGGGTAGTAGTATGACAAGAAATTCGCTAAATCTGGTTCTTCTAATTTATACTTTATATACCATTCTTAAAAAAAAAGATTATCATCAAGAAAAACAAATTTCGATGTCTCAATAAACTTTCTATAGGCAATAAATGAATGAAAAATTGGCGACTTCATCTTGTAACTCCTATATCTACCCGGACATGGATTAGAATTATAGTACAAAGATTCTCAGTAAGATTTTATTGATATCTTTTTGATTACAGCTATTTTTTCGAAAAATAAATATTGAAAGCACAATTCTATCGAATAGGATTTTTTGTCTCAAATTACAATGACTCTAGAATGACACAGAAAATATATTTGATATTGTTGCGCATGTTTTATCTCAATTCTAACTGGTCCATCAGGCTAAAATATTGGAGATTTTGAATCTATTATATGCATGACTTCACAACATACAATTGATTACTTTGATGGTACTAACTTTTCAATGTATGAAGAATTCTTCTTAGAAAAATTGACTATAAATTGATATTTACTCATGCAAGATCCATTTATCTTCCTTTCAAGTTGTTTACATCGATGTACGAGTCCATTTACTTGTAATTGAAGTTCTTGATTGTCATTCTGAATTCGTTTCATTTCCTCGGTCATAACAGGTAATTGACCAAGAATAGGTCTCATCAATTCGAAAGTACAATGTGCAACGTGTTCATCAAGTTGATCACGTAAACCTGTCCATCCACATTTGAGATCGGCAGCAGAGCATGTCACTTGTACTTTGGGACATAATTTCTTGATATGTTCATCAAAAAGATTTCGTTGAATGTTTTTTTCATAGCAGGTGTCACATTTAACTAAAAGTTGATTGAGATAATCGAGCATAGTGTGATCAGCTAATTGAAGTTCATTTAAAGTAATTGGCTCGTGGCGGCATAAAGGACAAACAGGTTTATCTTGTAATACTGTTTCGATGCCTGATCGACAGAATATATGCTTACAAGATGATATTACTACAGGATCGATGAAAGCCTCAGTACAAATGCTACATTTAACTTCAGCATCGATTGAATCTTCGTCCATGTAACTAAAACCGCGTGTCGGCTGTGAATAGCACATAAAATGCAATAAACTCGCGTTTTTTTATTTTTGTTGCACACGTTACAAATAGTCGTAAACGAATGTATGTTGTGTTCTTTTTTTCCCCGTGGATTCTTTCTGGTGACTCATTGCAAGAAAAAACATCACGTGAGTCATATTAGTAACAGAACAAACACATGTTGAATATTACATCGTCATCAAAAGACAACTGTTCTTAATATCAAAGAATTTTTATTTACGTTTAGAACAAAGATAAATTGTTTCCAAAAATCACTAGTAATCAGTCATGTTTTTTACGAAAGTCATTGTAAACTTTGAAATAGATTTTGTACTCTTTCTGTATTGTTTACAAAAAAAACTTTTTGATTCAGACGTTTCAGTAATCATCGGACTACTTTCTTCAGTGCAGAAATTACAATAACATCAAACGTAGCTATACATAGTTCTTTTTCTTTTCTTTCTAATACTGGTACGAAAAAAGAAGACGACAACTTTCTGTTTCCGTACCAGTATTAGAAAGAAAAGAAAAAGAACTATGTATAGCTATGTTTGATGTTATTGTAATTTCTGCACTGAAAAAAGTAGTCCGATGATTACTGAAACGTCTGAATCAAGAGGTTTTTTTGCAAACAATACAGAAAGAGTACAAAATCTATTTCAAAATCACTAGTAAATTGAACTAATATTTATTTACATCGAATCGACTATTATCTTGAAAATAGTCTAGTCAATCGAATCCAATCAAGAAAAGCTCAGTCTAATGAGAATCAGTAGGATTTCAAAATATTGTGCAGGATATGACGAAATAAGGTAATTATGTTGTTGATCGAAAAATTTTCGTCGATACAACATTTCGTCGACATGACATTTCGCCGACAAAGCACTTCATTGATAAGCTCAGGTAGATATCTACTTTTCGTCGAAAGTATTTTCTTGGCGATGAAGAGTACTCCACAGGTAAAGGTGAGGTAAGTGTGATGGTGAGGGTAAGTGCCATGCAAGGGTACTCTAAATGTGAGAGTAAGGGCACTACAAACGTGAGTATGAGAGAAAATTCATTGTCCTCTTAACTTTGAATAGTTCTGTAGAAGAATTGAAGGATCCAGAATTGTCTTAAGGGGGCTGCGAACCTTTCCTTGAAGTACTTTTCGACGAAAACCATCTAATTCTATTCAATGGTGCCCTGAAATTCTTCCATCACCGCCAAAGGAACAAAGTTAATTAGGAGATATTTTTGAACTTGTCTCCTGACGGTGAGACAAATAAGAAGAAAATAATTCACTTTCGACGAAATGCTTTTCTACAAAAACAAATTCGATAAAAATTTTTCGACAAAGTTACTTCGACGAAAAGTCTGTCGACTAGAGTGTTGGTGAAAATATTCATTTCATTTATACAAATATTGTGCCTCTGTGCTTCAAATCGAAATTCAAAAATCAGTTTTCCTGGTGTTTCTTAGTGGAATTACGACATTCATTTAAAAAATGCTGTGACAATGCAATGTCTCTATAGCAAGAAAAAATTAGGATTCAGAACTCTATTTAAGGTATTCCTAGTTCATTTGGATCTACATGAAGCACATAGTTCTGATTCCAAAGTAATTAGTCAATCGGAAAACTCTCCTCGTTAGTTGCAAAGCTGGAGGTTTGAGTTAAGCTTTAAATTATTATATTAGAAAGCACTTGTAAGAAAACATCTGGATTTTTTTACTAGTTTTTTTTTATCGAAATCTGGAGTCTGTCAGCCTGTTCTGCAAAAAAAAGAAACAATTTAACAAGAAGATTGTTTCATGATATGATGCATCTTTATGTTCTCTACTAAATAAAAACAAATATCTATTGCGAATGTATGTTAACAGAGAATTTCAGATTGTCCAATGAGCTATTTTTAACTCTAGTGTAGTTTGATGAATATTTTCCAGAAACGACATAATAATGAATTGAACATTTTATTTTAATCTTTCGACAAAAATACTATGAATATTTCATACAATTTTGAATGCATTTGAATTAAAAACGATTTTTGAGTTAAGAAGTGCTTCGAAGCGAAAGAGAACACTTGCAACTATTAATAGTTGTTAGTCAGTAATTATAAAAGAGTCAATTCAAGTGTTCTCAATAATTTGAAATAAAGAAAAACGTTGTAAAAAAATATATTTGTCAATTATATTTTTATATTCTTTTCTGTATTTCACACCGAGGAATCCTATTTAAAACAATTTGTTTTATTGAACATTAGATTTCAATTGACAATTCAGTATAAGACATGTCGAATTTTTACTACATTTGTTAACTGAAACTTGTAGTCCTTCTCAGATCACCATGAAAATCGAGTTTCGACTTGAAAATTTTTGCAAATAAAACTCTCAATGATATTAGTTCATTGCGAAAGTTTCACTGATTTTTATATATCCTACTTTGAGATATGAATGATGAAAACTTTCTAATAAAAAAGGTAATCATTCTTGGTATACGGATATCTCCAGATGCGAAGCACTAAAATCAGTGAAACTTTTACAGTAAACTCATGTTGTTGAGACTTTTATTTGTGCAACGTTTCAAATCGAAACTCAAAATGTGATATCTTCTTTGTTGTAAAATCAAAGCCAAGGGATGTCAATAAATATAAAGTTCCATTATTTTCAAAGCGATCAATTAAAGATCAGACTTTTTTTGAATAATATATTTTAAAATTTCTCGCTGAAGATTTTTGGTTTCTTATATAAAAATAATTGTCTACTAGCCCATTTTCATTTAATACTACTTGAAAATTTTCTCTTCTTATCTCTGACATTGGCTAATATTTATTCGATTACAACGACAATAACAAAAACTCCGAAGTAAGGAAAAATTATATAAGAATATGGGAATTTTACTTACTCTCGTATAAGACTTGATGCTCAATTAGAAGAGTTCAATCAATATTTGTATTTATATCTATATTTTCTGGACCTTTCCTAGTTATTTCTCGATAATGCTAAGAAATGTTTTTTTACCTATTTTATTTTTCAACATTGTGACCAATTGTCATCGACCCATTCACATTGAGTCTACTTTGAACTGTTTGACAAAATGCTTTTTTAACTAAGAATCTTATCCATATTGAAATTCGATATAGATTTCAGATGAATATAAGTAAATTGAATATATCTATAAATTAACAATTATTTTTTTAATCTTAGTAATAAATAGTATAGACTTTCGTTGTTTTTTAGTATAATATTTTGATACTTAGTCATCAATGATTGGACATCATCGTTGAAACTATAATCATTGAAAAACAATTAGAAAATTTATTTTCGAAATCATACCACGACAAATAAGTATTTTATAAGATGTTGAAAGTGTATTTAGTGGATATTGTCTATGATCCAAGCAAAACAAGACGAAACCTTAATAGAATTCAATTGACAGAGAAAATTATTCGATGACTGAATTCACGTACAATAATGACAAGTTTGGTGAAAATTTATGAAAGATAATCATTCAAGAAATGTTTGATCTTTGATTGATCACGTTGAAAATAATCGAATCTCGATTTTAATTTTTGCAATAAACACGATTACACGTTAAAAGCTATTACCATTGAGGAGATATTAGCTTAGACATTTTTTTTGCATTAAACTTTGAAAGATACAATAAATAAATTTGATATAAAACGCTGGAAAACTCCATATATTCTTTTTTTTTCTATTTTTGGTGACAAATGATTAATCTAAATTGTATTTTATTTATATGATTACAAAAAAAAAGCTGTTCACTCATTCTTTTTATGACCTCTCTTTTATTGTTGTTGTTCGAATGCGTTGGCATCAGCCATAATCACTCATATCAGAGTCAATACGATTCTCATAAATAGAGACAAAAAGTCATATTTACAGTGATTTCTGATTCATAGTTTAGGAAATAATAAAAAACATGTATATATACATATATTTATATAAACTGTAACTTCTTTTTGTAATAAAATAACAAAATCAAAGTACATGCAATTTGTTCAATTTAATTCAAAACATAATCAACGTCAACGATGGCAACGATTTTGGCCAACAACATTACTAGTTTTAATAGTAATAATTGAAATATTATTGACAAGTGTTATTATTGGTCTAGAATTTTGGAGTATGATCATCAATGTAAAATATTCTTTTTTTTTCATTGGTTTCATTGTTTCATTTTTCTTTATCATAACTTCGATATCAACATTTACAGTTGGTAAGTATTTGAAATGATAATAGTCAAATATGAACGATATTTTTATTTTCTTTTCTTGTTTACTAGTTTGTTGCTGTGTAAAATCACTAGTTTGCGCAACATATGTACTAATTGTACATATTATTTCGATTGCTGCATCAAGTATTCTCCTATATTATGATGCTCTATTTCTTCGTCATCCTAATACATGTTTATGGCCAAAAAACTTGTGTAATGAAGGATCATTAAATCTTAAATTCTTCGGTACTATCTTAGGTGCCAGCACAGATATTCATCGGATTAAATTTATTTTAATTAAAATACAAATAACTTGTGCTGCAGTTATGATTGCTATTTGTTTAGTCTATACTGGCATCTATGTTTATACAACCGTTAAAGTTTATACTAACAATAAAATAACTGATCCACACACAACTATTGAACTCGGTCGTATACAACAACCACCTCCGCCTTATTGGCCACCGCCACCCCCAAGAGAATTACCTCCTTCATCTGATTTTTGATGGATAAAAAGTTTTGCGAAGAAAAAAATCGCTTCCTTTGGTCTTATTTTTTTTAAAATACTTTGATATTAAAGGTTACAATGATTAAAAATAATCACTTCTGTTAAATTATATTTGCTTCTTATGAGGTCTTTTTTTTGTAATGGTTAAAAATATCTGTATCTATATTGGTTATACATAAGATTTTATGTAAATTATTTATAAGCAGTGTGTGAAAAGCTCTAAAGAAAGTGTTTAAAGATGTATACCGATGCTGGATAGTAGAGATTCTAATGGAACGAGTTGAACTTTTCTTCCTTATAAGAACGACTTCTTTTCGCATAGATTCTGCTTATCATCGGTAGAGAATAACTATATCAGATTATGTAGTATTGTATTAATCTACAATCGACAAAATACTGTAATCACTGATTGACATGTGAAAAACAGAGAACACAATTCACTAATTATATCAAAGCAATCTTGAAAATATTACTTTATTCTTTGATCATATATAAGGATGCTATCGTTCGCTTTTATTTAAGAGTATATTTCATGATTGAATTATTAAAATGTTGTCACTAGCTTAGTCGTCTGAAGTGATTATCATATTGGATGTGAATGCTCATTTTTCTCTTCCATCTAATTATTGTTTCTGGTTATATTTCAATAACAGATTCAGCAAGAGAATCTCAAGACTTTATCCAAATTATAGATGTGGTGCAGTGTGAATGCGTGACTGTATGATACAAGAAGTAACACTAACACACACTACACCACCTACGCACACCCACACCATTCAAATGACTGAGATGAAAACAGACTGTTTGACTTTCTTAATATGCGACTCGGGTGTCGTTACTAATTACTACAGCATTGCAGGATCCGCGCTTGGACATCGGTAGCAGCCATATAAAGTACCCATCTATCTGCTCATTTAATATTAGGAATGTACTTTTTCTCTTTCCTGTGTTTAGCAATATTTCAGTGAATGATAAAAGTAAATAAGATATATAGTGAGCAATACTTCCACGTCTCTATTTTGTACATAAGAACCAATCACTATTCACCGTTCTATGTCTTCCTTGTTTTTTTCTTCGTATTTCTTCTTTTATTTTCTTATGCTTTTGGTTGTTCGATTTGACTAATTTCTTTGATAATAATCGATCGGCGAATAAAGCCGAAGTTCTCAATATAATCAAGTTGAATCGAATATCTGAGTCATTTTCGTTCTGTTTTACCTTTTCTCCAGTCACCGAAAACCTCATTGAATAACAAATAGAGGTGCAAACAGTGTCTCTAAAACTATCACTGAGACAGTTGTTCATCAGTATTTTCAGTTCAAATACAGTGCATTTTCGTTTGAGTACGTGGCTAACGTAGTAACATTAGACGAGACCGAATATATGTTCAAAAAAGTAGCAACACGTCTAATATTGTAGTTGTACAACGTTGAAATGTTAAAGTTTTGGATTAGAAAAGAAGGGCATATTGGAATAATTTTTCATTTATTGTCGGACGCATTTTCAACGTATACGTGCAGTGGAAGAATAGTCATGTAAAAAATCTAAACACTTGGGTTTTGTGTTGTCATGCTCTTTTATATGATTTCTTTATATTATTTTGTGGATATTCTATGTAAACTCAAGTAGCTTTACAGCTTCCACAGAAAGACAGTTAATCCAGATTTTCTTCGGAGAATTGATTTAAAACTCGAGGAAGACTAATGCCTATTTTTGGAAATATAGACGCATGATAGAATAACCATAAAGTCTGTAGCGGCCAAGTCGATCTTCGAAGGAACAACGCTATATCAGTCCCACGCTGGATAAAACACTGATCTTTAAATATTTCTATAGTGGATTTTCTCTGCCATGGTCTATGATGGTCTTTGAAGCTTCTCTATCTCGGTATGTGATAGGTACTGGATTTCTCGGTCACGATCTGTGATGGGTATTAGGTTTCTCTGTCACGATCTGTGGGGGTGGGTCCAAATTTCTACCCTATATATTTCAACACTCCTTTTAGATCGTGTTTCACAAAAGAAAAAGAAAATGTTAGAAAAATATTGAATAGCGCATTTTTAATACATGTTCTAAACCCGCATTAGCAACAGCACAGAAATGGAACGCGTTTGTTCGGGTAAAAGATGATAAAGAAAATATCATTGTTTTGTACAATGTATTGAGTGTTTGTCAATTTTCGCTTATGAATCATTTAAAACTGGTTTAAGAGAGGATCCGCCAGAATACCGACCATCGCGGCTGCCGAAAAATTTTAGATTTTGACTCTGATCATCTCATTCGAAAGCCCATAAAAAGTTACTAAGAAAGCCAAAATATCAACTCATTTTCATTTGTCTATAAGAAAATAGCAGGTACTCCATTTTTTCGACCTCTCGGATCATATCCTAAAAATCGATTTTTTAAATCCTGGTCGTATTTTGCGAATTTCTCCTCCATCTTTTCACGATTTGAGGCGCGGAACACCTCAAATGATAGAGAATGAAATCCTCTACAAAATAGTCTGTTTCTATTATCTTTTGAATATAATTTTTCTTGAGAAAAAAATCAAGTTTGAAAAAAACAAGTGTGCAATTCCAGCATCAGATTTCAGTGTCATGAGTGAATGTCCTATCAAAGTAAGAGATCCTAGGCTGAATTTTTG